CAAAATAAGAAGAAACTACTTGGGAAATAGACAGATCATTTGAAGACTGGACAATATTCTAATATTTTCTTCTGACAAATTAATTAAGAAGTTAAGATATTATAAGGGAATGTTAAATCCGTGTAGGTCAAACAGTCACAATAGAAATAACACCAGCTAACATCTATAAAGATTTGCTATTTAGAAATTAGTTAGTGCGTTTTGAATTTTAGTTTTTTTAGGATAAAAATATTCTGAATTGTCCTGAACTTAAAATTTTTAGTTTAAAATTTCAGGACAAAACAAGTAATGATTAATCTCTAAATAGCATCCCTGAGAATGATTATTTTTGCCGCACTTGCCTCCATAATGTGTTAGAAAAGCCACTTAGAAATAAATATTTTGACATATGGGTTATTATTAATATAAATTAAAAAGATAGCATATATGACCTACATATTTACCCACCCTCCCAACATTAGTGGCTCCCCCTTTGTCTATATCATAAATTTCCTTTAAGATCTTGGCCAGCTAGCTACCTCTCGAAACGTTAAAAACTTTAGAGAAGAATATGAAGCCACCTAGCTTGGTTGCTTCGACTCCAACACTCGCATACATGCAATATATTGGTTAAAATAGAACTAAATAATGAAAATCTTTATTTGCATGTTTTATTTCTTTTTGACATGGGACTAAGTTATTTTAAAAGGCATATAATTTTTTGATTTTATGTAGGCGAAAGTAGGGTGCAATAGAAAAAGAAGATGTATACAAGTGGTAGCAATTACTCAGGATTAAGTAATTTAATCATGTTAGTACGTTTTTAAGGTCTTATTAATGTTTTGTTAGTGATTTATACGCTAATAAAAAATATAGAGGACCTCTAATGTTAGAGAAGTTAAACTCCGCCGGTGTGGCTTGCTTATATTGTCTGTCCCAGGGCGGGATGAAGTAAGAAGGCTGCAATAGGCTGACAACAACATAAAATTAGTCAATTTCACGATAAATCTTTACATTTTGGTATCAAGGCATAGTTATTGTTGTGTTGTATATTATTAGATTAAAACCGACTCAAAATAGAGAGTCATAGATAATAAAGACTAATATATACTCAGCCGCCCTAATTAATATGTTTGTACGTGTCATTGAGCATCAAATAAACGAAAGAGATAAAATTTGAAAAAATTATTGGGATATATGTGAAAAGGTGAAAATAATAGAAGTCAACAAATACAGTCTGTTAGGTAAGTTGCTTTCACGACATTACATTTGTACGTTTCATATTAAATTAGGGATACCATACAGTAATTTATAGAGAATACATACAAGAAATGATTTGAAGATTTGCATACATACAAAGAGAAAGCTGAAAAAGACATGGGAAAATGGAAAGCGACAACTTCTAAAAACATACTAACAGATTTGGAAGTGACTCGTCTCCCATATATACTCGACTCTACATGAAATCCTCCTAATTATTCCTGTTTTTCATGTGAACTTTGTCTCTCTCTATATATATATATATATACATCTTCCCGATCCAAAATAAGTGACTATTTTATCTTTTGCACACTCATTAAAAAATACGAATTCCTAGAGAAAAAATAATATATTTACTAAATTAACCTTAATTAATTATTATCTTGACTCATTAGAATATGTAATTTCTTCTTGATTATGTAAAATTTTGGACCAAAATAAAAAAGTTAAATGATCACTTATTGTGGACCGGATGGAATATCATCTAAAGGTTTCAATCTTAAGTGGTCTAATGAAAAATCAGGGTTTCAGCAATGTAATTAAAAAAACCAACGTATAATTTCTTTTCATCTTTCTATACATGACAGAGTTATCCGATACTTATATTGGTCTGAATTAAATAATAGTATGTACTCAATAAAATAATCAAAGCATTTTCAAACTGGCGCATGAAAATTATTTGTTGAAAGTTTTACATAGTTAAGGTGAAGAGAACCGGCATCGGCATGCTTTTGTGTACCTATTAATCTATTATTACTATTAATTAATATCTACAAGACATGTTTCTTTGTTTATAATTTGATCCATTTCTTCAGGTACACTTTCTTTTTTAATTTCATACAGATATATCTGCACATTCTCAGGATATATACAACTCAAACCATATGTCATCTGCCATAACCTTCAACTTGGCTTAGGAACTCGAACTAAATAGATATTATATTTTCAATGATATGTTTTTACCTCCAAACTTTTATTCTCGATTCTTGTTGTCTTTGAGGATATTATAAATATATATATAAACTTGCCCAATTGTTTTCTCTTGGTCAAATATATAGGAAGTTAAAAGGAGTTAGAACAGCAGTTACATGAAGTCATCAACTTATCATTCATTTTGGTCTTTCTTTTCTGTGCCAATCTGTAACAAGAAGCAAGTAGAAAATATTAGTTAATCTTTGGTTGCTAATCAAACTGAAGACAAAGGGATGTGGGACAAATTTTGTTAACGGCAACAGTCCAACCCCACCCCACGAGAAATAAATTAAAGAAAAGAAAAGCATTTCGTCTTACTGAAACAAGAACAGATGTACATGTCTTTCTTTAAATTTTCTTATTATGAAAAAAAGATAAGTTCATTTAAAAAATAGTTTAAATACAAGACAACAAATAGATCAAAGGCCCAAAACCAAATACATCAACAACATCGTACGGCTAGGATTGAACAATCAGTGGGGATATCTTTGGTCCACTAATTTCGGCCCAGGACCACATCCATGATCCAACCCTTATGATGAAACAAAAAAAGAATAAAAGGGATAGGATTAAAGATGTAGCATGGGGCAAATACATTACATGGAAATGCATATATTATCTTTTATCTCTTCTTTTTGATATTTTTTATCTGCATTCGTGTCTGATTAAATTTAGATACGCATCAAAAAATCTCACATTGAGGGGTAAGGGCTCTTTAACAAAAATAACTTTATACTCAAGGCTCGAAATCAGGATCCTTATTAAAGATGAAGGAATACTTACCGAAGGCTCGAACCCGAAGTATTATCTTTTATCTTTGTCTCACCATTTCACTAATTAAAGCCTCTGTAAAGTCTTATCCACGTAACATAATTTCACTGCAAAAGTCTCTCCCCCAAGTGGGCTCTGGAGAATTTCAGAGTCATTTGCTATTTCCATCTAAACATACATTTTTCATTCATATGGCCATTCCCTGTAGGATTGATAAATTATTCAATTTATATCTGCATCATACTACAGTATATTCATTCACGTGAAATAAAAAATTTGTTTTTGTTATTTTCAAGTAGCATTGAAGATATTTAAAATATTTACATAGCACCAATTTATGCAAATAACACCCCTCTGACGCACACTAGGGCACAAAACCCATGCTTTAATCAGAATAGAAAGTAAGACTTTTTTGCCACACTTAAAGAAACTTTTATTTATAAATATAAAATAAATAAATAAAAACTACTCCTCGACTATCCAAAGATTTTAGGTTTTAGATAAACTTTTTCTCAAAAATACTTCTTCAAATAATTTGAAAAAAGATTGTCCTATTGCCACGAAAAGTCACTATTTCATCTGCCAAATTAATTAGTCACTCACTGATGAAAGGAATTGAGGCATATAGTAGTAGTAATTCAGAAAATGTATACTTTAAGTAACTCATTAAGATCACCCTAGAGTGTGGTGAGAAAAAGAGATCTTTTCAAGTCATAATCAAAGTCTCGGGTTTAAGCCATGTAAATTATTGATATGAAGTGTTTTTTTCTTTACGGACATTAATCGACTTGGATCAAAATAAGTCAGGATAATAAATTTTGGATATTGAACAAATAATCAATAACAAAAAAACTCATTAAATACAACCATGTACACCATTTAAGATCGGTTTAAATTCGTAGTTGTTATACTTGATATCTTTAGCTTTATTCGCATCTTTCCATAAGAAGACGAGTCAAAGAAAACATTGATACCCTGTTTGGATCATTGTTACTCATCATTTTTGGATCATCGCAATAGCCAATAGGAGTTGGCATGCACATTTCTTCTTCTATTTTACCGTTGTTCATTAACACTCTGTTTGGATCATTGTTAACCATTTTACTGTTTGTTTTGACTGTATTGTATTGTAATGTAACTGATAAATATACTAAAATACCCTTAATTATTTAAATATTAAATTTATCAAAAATTACGCATAAAAATAATTTAAGAAAATCTCTTTCTACTAATTTATCACCAAATATGCCTTATAAATAGATTAAACAATTAAATTCATGTAAATTCTAACAAAATTAGTGGAACGGGTTAATATTAAATACAATAACAAGTATACACCATTCCTAACTAGATCATAATAATAATAATAATAATACAAAAAACAAAATGTTAAGGAACTATGATAAAGAAAGGAACGAGAATTGGCAGAACAAAGAAACAAAGATAATTAAAATTGAAGTTAAAATCAAATTAGGAGAAAAAATGAAACAAAAGCATGCAAAACAGACGTTTGGAGTCGGAAGCGACAGAAGTTCTGGAAAAAAAAAGGGACGAAGATAAAGTAGGTTATAGGTTGGAGATTTGGAGTTAAAATAAAATATAAAAAAAGATAAAAGGATAAAATAGAATTATAAAGTAATAAGTTAGGCATAATTGAAAAAAAAAAATTCACTACACCAAATCGGTTGTTTAAAAAAATAAGACTTTTCATTGTTATGCACAATAGATTTAACAATACAATACAATTAATTTTAATAAACAATCAAAATAAACATTGTTTTGGAATAATAATACAATACGATACAATGGGTAAAAACCATCCAAACATGCTGTAAATACCCTAGACACAAAAAAATAAGAAGAGATTTTAACACAAATAACTGGTTATTTTTAGTTTAAACACTAAGTAGACGGCTATTTGAGTTAATTCTTTAAAATAAAAATAAAAATAAATAAATAAAGCCAAGGACATCTTGAGATCATTGAAACTCAAATTAAAGAACAGCTGCAAAGATAGATAAATCTAATAAACACAATAAAATAGCACCAAATATTACAATTTTATAAATAATTAGTTAACTCTCTCACAGGGCACAAATATTACACAACGCCACTGCGAGAAAATTACAATTATAGACTTCTGAGATTTACAAACACAGAAACCTTACACGTCACCAGGTTATGATCCCAAAACCCAAAACCCAAAAAAAAAAAAAAAAAAAAAAAAAAAAAAAAAAAAAAGACAGTAGTAATAAAGCAGATTCCTGAACTCCTGTATAAAATTTTTACTTCAGACAACCTAGCTAGCTCCGCCTAGACTTATATTCGCAACCTACTTGCTCGACTTGCTCTGTTTTTTTAAGAACGGGATCCAAGATTTGAACCTTATGGGTTCGAAAATGTAATTAAATCAGTGATTTCTAAATTAATAAGTTTTAAATATCCAATAAATTTCAAAGACAAATACATGATTTGAATAAAAGTTATTAGGTTCTAGGTTCGGTCGAACCCGCATCTGTTACTCTGCCTGCGCCCCGGTTTTTCTTTCCTTTTTACCTTAGCATTGACGAAGTTAGAGATTCGAAAACATCTTCATCACAAGGAATTGTGAGACCCATATCGTGATCAAAACCAAATTCTTCTTCTGCACGTTGAAGAAGGCTACGAAATTCAGGTCTTGACAAAATGGAAATTGGAACAATATATCTTGTTCTATTTTCTCCAACGTAAACTACAAAATGCCCTTTTGGTACGTCTAATGGAAGCCCTAATTGCTCGTCGTGATATGAGCCATTTTTCTTTCCCAAACTTGAACACCTTTTCAAGATTTGCTTCAACATTGCTGTTTGTGACAACTTGTTTGATTTCCTAATGGCCATTTTTTTAGGGAAAGAAAATTTAGCAATTTTTTGGAAGAGAAGGGAAAGAAAAAAGAAGGATATTCAAGACTTGGGAAATTGAGTTTAGTGGAAATGAAAGGAGTTTGAGATGTATTTAAATAGAGAAGTTTTGAATTAACAACATCCTCCTATCCCCCCTCACCCCACCGGGGAGGTGAGAGGAGAATTTGAAGTTTTGAAGTAGAGAAAATGAATAAATGAAAAGTTTAAATTCTTTATATTGATAGAGTATAAAATATTTATGTTATTATGTCAAAATTGACCTACTAAACCAGGTTAGTATTCCACAGAGATAAATCTAGCATTGGAAGTTTATGGATTCTGTTTATTCCTCTCTTGTCATCGAGCCTGCAACTTATTTATGATATTAGGTTCGCAATTTTATATATATATTTAATAAATATTTCAATATTTATATATACAGAATTCGGGTCAAAGTTACTGAAGTCTACCAAATTTGTACAAAATGTGGTACATTCTGCCTCTGTTATTCATAGGAAGTTTGATAAGACAACCTAAAAAATAAAGTGATAACATATAATACAACCGATTAAATTGATTTGATATGGTGTAAAAGTTCTTAGCACTCTCTATGTATATAAATTAAATTTATAAAATAAAAGTAAAGAAAAATTTAAGGGGAGAGAGAAACAAAACCATGTGGGGTTGGGGTGGAAATTAAAAAGAAGAGACCACGGGTATTTTCGGAAGGAGTGAAAGGCTCAAATGCAAATGTTGATGTTGGAAGCAAATGCCTTGGTTTTATTACCTGTTGTAGCCTTGCATCAAAACATATTGGTCCCTTTAACTCTGTATTTTATAAAATCAAAATATTTCTTTTCTTTCCCCAAAAAACAAAATTGGAAAATAATGAAGAAAAAATAATAATCTGAAATTTCAATCACTTTGTTGGGAAAAGCCGTTGTCCTGTTTCAACTGATTAATTAAGAACCTACCTAACAATTTTCAAGAGTACATTATAATGCAATTCCTTTTTTTCAACCACATTCTTTGTCCTGTGTTAGAATAGAAAATGGAGCAGAGACTAATACTATTATCCCTAACTTGCCTATTTAATTTTGTTGTTGACTTGACTACACAAAATAATTGATTTGAAATTTCAGTTCGAATACTTTCATACTTTCCTTTCTTAATATAAAAATATATTGGCTATAACAAAATCTGTCTATTTCTTTTCAAAATTAAGCATCTCAGTTAACTTATCAAAGTCAACAAATGCCTAATGTGTTACTTAGGACAACTAAATAATCAAGTTTAATATGTACGACAGACCAAATTCATACGATGGAGCTTAAATTGAAGTAATTAGAATTTGTTTACTAAGCCCGATATTATCATTACAAGAGTAGAAAATTGGACCTCATTGGACTTGTTAATTTGACGTAAAAAAGATTACCTAATACATTAAGCTGTATTTGATGAACAAAGAAATGGCTAAGATAATTTGCAGAGTATTAAGGAAAATGAAAAATAGAAAAAAGGAAGAGAAAGTGTTGGTTTCCATGCCAAAGGTTTAATTACCCAGCAATATTGACTCAGTGCACGAAGTATCTCGCGTTCACGCAGGGTTCGGGGAAGAGCTACATCCCATGGGTGTGAGGCGATCTACCATGCAAGCATCCGTTGTTGATTTCTCGGCTCGATCCCGTAACTTATAGGTTACACGGAGAAAACTTGGTTGTTGCCCCAAGACTCTCCTTCTAAAGCCTTTGATTCAAGAGTTTAAGTTATGTAAACTGACAACGTATACTATCAAAATAAAGACAAAAATGACCTATATGTGACTCGCTAACATGAGAAAGTCTGATATGCTAACATGAGAAATAGAGTATTAACCGGTTAAATTGCAATAATATAATGTACATTTTTCAACCACTATCTATCAAGGTATATAATTTAAATCTTTAATTCAAGCATGATGCTACAGATAACAAATTGACAAAGATGGTTGCAGAGCCGAAAGTATAATGTTTTATCTAAATTCTTCCATTCTACGAGAAATATTGTAATCCTAAGAGATTAAGATTTCTGACATATGGGATCTCTCTTCCCCTGTTATGTCCATTTCATTGCAGCCATCTCTGTTATATATGAAACTGCCGCATATACAATAAACCTAAACCTTGTCCAATGGGGCCGCACTTAAACAATAGCCACATTACAAAATATAACAAGACATTCTTATCAGAAATAAATCGACTCATTAATCTTGTACTAAATCACTTACTAATAAATTACCTTAGAAATATTTTTCATCCTAGAGGCGAATTCAACAACTAATCATCACGAGTTAAGTATAGGATTCGATAGAACCTAATTAATGATTCGGAAAACATCCTGTATTTGTGTTCTAGAATATATTTCAGAACTAGCTCTTTCAACTATATATTTCACAACGTCTAAATTTTCGGAAAAAGTGGGAACAGGAGTACAGGAGAGATAGCTTTAGGTCAAACTAGTATTTATTATTGTTGCGCTTGTGATTCTATACGAATTAGAATGGACAGAAAAAGTATCAGGAATTCACATGCATGTGTTTATATATGGATTCAACTTTGCAGGTCTTTTCTTCACGTACTTCTCATACTATGCTCTCCGTATATATGTCTTTTAATTTTTTTTCCAAATTCACATTCGTCCTCTTTCCACTTAATCATAATATTATAAATGTGTACATGAAAGACAATATCTTACATTATTCATTATTTTAAACACTGAGTGCGGGTAAATTTTTACGGTGCTATTTGATTGCATGCAACCTCTTCATATATGTGATCACGTCCAACTATGCCTTATAAAAATGATTAAGCGGTCGTTGCAAATATATTCCGGCTAATAAGTCCGGAGTCGAATCTCACAGGGAATTAACCTATCAAACACAGCTACTAGACTCGTACGAACTCACGCAATCAATCATCAGAAATATTTAAGTAGCAATTTGGATGTTTACTAACTAAACATTACATAATAAAAGTGCAACAATTAATAACTAACTACTACGGTTTGTAGACAAGAATTGAAATGATCTAAGGTTATAATTTTCCCTATTGTCGGAATCCTTTTCGCTACGTCTTCTATAAATTTGCCAAAGTCTTCTCTATCGATCATGAGCACTCTGACTGTCGTATTTTTTTCCCGAGTAATTACTAAAATTTACTAGACATATTCTCCTGAATTACGCTAGCTGGCATTAATTACGGCTCACTCGGATCGCACCAAGATTTCGTTATCCTTAATCTCACCTTTAAACCCTTCGTATTGATCCCGCATATACGTTAGGAGTGATGTTGTTCAACAACTACCTAAATATGCACTCTCTCCCGAGTAATACACACTAAATAGGCACAGTCGATTGAGAGCCCTTCAATCAACAACAATAATTATATAGTTGAACAAATAGAAAAAATTCTACGGCAAATCTATATTTAACGTAACATGAAAATCATCCTCCAATAGGTTGTATCAAAATCCTAGATTAGAAGTTTAGCTACTCATACTCATAGTCACAATATCCAAAGTATTTTGCATAATTAAATTACAAGGTAAGGATAAAGGGATGTGGAAATCGATGAGTCTAACTCCCAACGGTTGTTCCACGAGCTATCCTTGCCTCTGGTTGCAAAAGTCCTCAAAAGTGGCATTTTTAGGTCTATTTATACATATAGGAAGAGACTTAAATATGTAGGCCAAGTCCTAGTCAAACTAGGAGACAAAATAAGTCTTTAAAACTCGGAATGTGTACGCCTAGACCTAGCCTCACGAGGTCTACCGCCAGCTTGAGCTCACCCAAGGCCTGGCGTCGCCGGCTCCAAAGCCTGGTGGACCTCGCGTTACCGTTCGCCTGGCCTTCTCCAACGCGTGCTAAAGGCCTGACGTCGCCTGCTCTAACACCCACTTTAGGCCTGGCTTCACCAACTTCCTCATTCGTAGGCTGCTCACTTCTTTCTTTCTTCTTTTCAGCTGTTTTCGAGCACACTTTAGACTTTAAATATTCCTTCTGCTCTACTTTCATCTCCAATTCACCTACACATAAAATAGACTCTGTTACGCACAATTAAAGTGTAGTTTATCATTAAAGCATATAAAATACAAGGTAAATAATATACGAAACTATGGAATTATAGCCACACATCAATACCCCACACTTAAATATTGCGTGTCCTCGTGCAATCAAACCATACTTACAGACACAACCTCACTAAGCAATTCCCTTAACTCGTTACACCAAGAATATTTAAAATAGTCTAAGCACCAATGTGTAACATCCTCGCCTCAAGATTTGACTCCCAAATACCATGACTTATTCACAATTCACTTACTTACTCTAACATGGAGGTCAACGATATTACCTTTCCTTTATGAATCACGTGCCCTCACCCAACAAAGAACTCAGTTCCACACACAATGAATTTTAAGAATGTAGGAACTCAAGATAGGAAAAATTCACTCGCTCTCAGAAATAACATTCATATGCCACAAATGATGCACTAGAGGCTTGCCCGTAGTGTAATACTCTACTAATCGAGCTCATTCAGTCTAAGATCAAGTAGAACTTTAATTGGTTGTAATGTAGGCTACGGGTCGGGTAGGATACATTTGGATATAAGTGACTACACCTCCCTTAAGCACTTTAATACATACACTTTAACATTCAAACTCATACTTATGTCAAACCAAAACTCCACCTTAGCTTCATTTTATATTAGCCCCTACTTCTTTAAGCACCAGTATATCACTAGACACTACCATCAAGAATTATTTTTCTTACAATACAACTATTTATTTATTTTTCTTTTCTCTTAATCCAAGTGGCTTTTATTGACATTTTGTTTTCAAACGGTGCACATTTCTCCTTATTTCAATTGTTCCACTCAAAAGCCAACCCACCACCCCACACTTAAACTTTTTCATAATTCATCACAATTCAAGTGCTCATGAGAGGTGACAAGGTTCAAATATATGGTCGATTCAAACAAAGGGGTACGACTTGTAATGTGGTTACCAAAGAAACAGGATTATAGGCTCAAAGGGATTAATTACGATACATAACTTTTAGGTGGGTAAACTATATATATCTGGCTTAATAAAGAAATGCCTATATCACTTCCTAGACTGAACAAGACTACTTTTTCGTTTTGCGCACATACGGGGTAAGTTCTAGACATCAAATGCAATGCACATAATACATACAAAAACTCACACAGACATGACACATAACTCACTCAGGATTGGTTTTATCGCGACACTCCAGTCCAAGCAGTTAAGCAAAATTAAGAATCTACGATTTAAGGTACTTATACTAGAGTCAAAAACCAAGCCCAAGCGTCACAACCATAGTACTAACTATTCTCAAGGCATAACAAAGCTAAGAGATATTGCTGCAATTAAATGTATAGCCCCGTGGTTCCTACTTCTAAATATTAAAACTAACTACACCCGGTTCAACTAAAAGCCCTTGGAAAAGAACCGCGGCCCAAAAAAATCAAGGGGGAATTACTACACTACCTACAAAAAAATGGCATTTTTCTCTAGACTTACTTCCCTCAAGAAAACTGTCTAGGAGATCCATCGTCGGGAAGANCACTAAAACAAATTCTTATAATAAATAACTAAAAGAATTATCTAACGAAAACGACACTTACTAAAACAACAAAAACAAGAAACTACAAGTAATTTCTACAAGTCCCCACCCCACACTTAGATCTTGCATTGTTCTCAGTGCATGCACAAATTGACAAAACAAGAGAAAATGAGTAGGGTGCAAGGAAACTCCCTGATCAAACTGCGTCCTCATCCTCTGGGGCTCTCCACTCTTTATCTTGTGCTTCCTCCTCATCATCATCGTCGTCCTCATCATCTGATTGCTCCGGCTCAGCCTCAGACTGCTCAGGTGTGTTGATATCCTCATCATCGGGGAGTCTGTAGCCATCACCTATCTCAACCAGCTGCTCGGCATGAGCATTGAGCGGGTACCGCTGCTCCAATAAGGTCCTCTCCTCATATGTGGCAGGCTGACCCCCTATCTTCAGCTGCAAATCCATCATCCCATAGAGATGGGCTATAAAACTATCATCACGAGCATTGCGCTCGGCACCTGTCAACGATGTCATGGCAGTCTCTTCTTTCAGCCATAGACTAGTGATGTCCGTTTGTCGTAGGGGCTGATCGATGGTGTGGTGAAACTCTGGCTCCTCCGCAACCTCCTCGTGTCTTAAGAACTGAGTTAGAAAATTGGCAAATGGCATTCGATCGACCTTCTTACTCGTTCTGACGAAAGATATCTGGTAGCGGATCAGATGACCCACATTCACCCTTTGACCCGTCATGAGGAAGTAGAGCGCACAGGTCCTCTCACGACTAATAATAGTGTCATGATTGCACGGTAGGAGCCGTGCATTTATCAGTTTAAGCTACACTTGAGCCTCCTCCCTCATCTTCTTCTTGGGGAACCTCTTGTGCTGATTTTTTTTCTTATCCCGGACCCATGTTGTCGTAGAAGAGACACCACAAAGCGTGTGTCTCGACTCTCTATATGTAGGTCGGCGAATGAAGTGGTCCAATGGCTCAACAGGAACATCCGGAGCACCTAAAAAGTTACATATGGTCATGACTGAAAAATCTATCAATCATCCACGAATCGGCACTAGCTGTTCAGTATCCTGTGGAGCAAACCCTCCAAAGAATTCCCGGACTAGATTGATATTAATATCCCTTGTGTTCTTGAATACATAGCTCAACCCCAAATTTTGGATGCCCCTCCAAATTGCCTAATACTTTGCTTTCAAGCTGCGTTCATGGATAGCTGCTTCCGGGTGTACATGTTTAGGCCTACAACGCCTGTACCAATCCTTAGTATGCAGGGGTAAGCTGTTGATGCCAAACTCCCGTTGGCCTTGGGGTTGTAGACGCATGGCTGCTACAGCTTCCACAGTTTGTGCTCCACTTAGACTAGAGGTAGCTTCTCCCCCTTTTCTCTTCTTTGGGGGGGGGGAGTGAGGGAGGGGTGCGGAGGTCGCCTTTTCTTTAGCCGAAGTAGTGGAAGTAGCCTTTCCTTTGCCGGTGTCTTTTCTCGGAGGCATATTCATTCCTTATATGTTGTAAGATGTGGGCTTTGCCTTTGAACCGTTGTTTCTAGTGAATGGAAGAGGAAAAACTTGCTTGACTTCAACGGGGTTGGGATGGGGATGGATGGCAGTGTATGTGCCTGAGTGTTTTGTGAGGAATGTAGTGATTTAGGTTAGGGTTTTATTTTATGTTAGTTTGGGCGTTTAAGTTAGAGTCCAAGAAGGGAGGGGTTAAAAGAAATAAGGGACACAATTTAAAATAAGCTGAAGAAAAATACTTACCTGGCGACGCCTGCCTAAGTACCTGGCCTCAACCCATGCGGTGCCAGGCTTAGCGCCTGGTGTACCTAGCCTTACCCTAGGCGAGGCGAGCTCCATCGCCAGCTATACATGGCCTCAACCCTCGCAAGGCGAGCTCCCCCGCCTGGTTTCCTTCATGTGACGCTGAACATTCTGCTCGACTTGCCCAAAATTACCTGCAAACTTGTTAGTACCTAAAAACGAAAAGAAAAATTCAAACTACACTAAAAATCAACTTCGAATTGGGTTGCCTCCCAATGAGCGCCTTAATTAACATCGTGGCACGACGAATACAACAATACAATGGGTTGCCTCCCATGAAGCGCCTAATTTAACGTCGCGACACGACGCCGGTGAGCGCATTTAAGGCTCGCTCAACATTGGTAGTGCGAGAAAATGAGTCGCCGACACTACTTTCGCGTCATCCATGTCCAAATAATATTTTAACCTGTGCCCATTGACTCTAAACGTGCGAGAGTCATTTTCCGTCGCAATCTCTGAGGCACCAGTGGGGCGAATCTCTACCACACGAAATGGCCCTGACCATCTTGACTTTAATTTTCCCGGAAATAACCTCAATCTTGAATCGTATAGCAATACCATATCTCCGGGTTTAAAACTCCACTCAAGGATGTTTTTGTCATGCATCATCTTCATTCTCTCCTTGTATAGTCTTATGCTCTCAAAAGCGTGGTAGAGAAACTCATCAAGCTTGTGCAACTCTGTGACTCTACTTGTACCCGCAGCTTCTATATCGAGATTAAGCTGCCTCAATGCCCACAAAGCTCTATGATCCAACTCCACTGGTAAGTGACACGCCTTCCCAAACACCAATTTATATGGTGACATGCCAATCGGAGTTTGGAAAGCGGTACGATAGGCCCAGAGTGCATCATCTAACTTTCTCGCCCACTCCATTCTTGTAGCATTCACAGTCTTTGTCAAAACGCTCTTTATCTCTCTGTTCGAGACTTCCACTTGTACACTCGTTTGTGGATGATATGGGGTGGCAATCTTGTGGCGTACATCATACTTTTCTAACAACTTTGCGAAGGCTCGATTACATATGTGAGTGCCTCCATCACTGATTATTGCCCTTGGAGTGCCAAATCGGGTGAATATATTCTTTCTCTAAAAACCAATTACCCCATTTGCATTATTTGTAGGGAGCGTTGCATCCTCCTCTCATTTTGACATGTAGTCCACAGTTACGAGTATGTACTTGTTGTCGTATGAGCTGATGAAAGGCCCCTTGAAATCGATCCCCCATACATCAAACACTCCTACCTCCTGAATTGGGTTCTTAGGCATCTCATGTCGGCGGGAAATATTCCCAGTTCATTGGCATTCGTCACAACCCTTCACCCATAAGTGTGCATCTTTAAACAATGTCGGCCAGTAGAAGCCCGACTCCAGCACTTTCGCAGCTGTCCTTACTCCCCTGGAATGGCCACCATATGGTGACGTGTAATAAGGCTGCAAAATAGAAGATTGATCTATCTTTGGGATACATCTCTGGATCATGTTATCAACACAAATCCTGAATAGATAAGGCTCGTCCCAATAATACATGCGACAGTCACGAAAGAACTTTTTCTTTTGAACATAGGAAAGGTCATAGGGAACAATACTGCTTGCCAGGTAGTTTGCAATGTCTGCATACCATGGCTCTACTTCAAGACTCGTGGCTAGTAGTTATTCATCCGGGAAAGTCTCCACAATCTCTTCCCATCAACCTTCTTTCCGGCTCCTTCCAGCCTAGACAAGTGATCAGCCACTTGGTTCTCCTTTCCCTTTCGGTCATGGATTTCCAAGTCAAATTCTTGCAGCAGTAGCACACATCGAATCAGCACGGCTTTGACTCCTTCTTATCAATTAGGTACCTGAGAGCAGCATGGTCGGTATAAACAATTACCTTCGAGCCTATCAGGTATGACCTGAATTTGTCAAATGCGAACACAACTGCTAATATCTCCTTCTCGGTCACTGTGTAATTTAGTTGGGCACCACTCAAAGTTCTAATTGCATAATATATTGGATGCTTGACTTTCTCTTTGCGCTGCCCAAGCACTGCTCCCACAGCATAGTTGTTTGCGTCACATATCAGCTCTAATGGTTGCTCCCAGTCAGGTGCAACTATGATAGGTGTTGTCACTAGCCTCTTCTTTAATTCCTCAAAAGCTACCCTGCAGTCATCAGAAAACATAAAAGGGTGATCTTTTTCAAGCAATTTACACAAGGGGTTAGCAATTTTGGAAAAATATTTTATAAACCGTCTATAGAACTCGGCGTGGCCAAAGAAACTTCTTATTGCTTTGATGGAAGTGGGTGGTGGAAGCTTTTCGATCACATCAACCTTTGCACGATCTACCTCAATGCCCTTACTCGACACTAGGTGCCCCAAGACTATACCTTCATGTACCATGAAATGATATTTTTCCCAATTGAGTACCTGATTAGTCTCGACACATCTTTTCAGCACTCTTTTCAAATTCCTTAGGTAATCATCGAATGAGTCTCCCACCATCGAGAAATTATCCATAAAGATCTCCACGATGTCCTTTACCATATCAGTGAAGATGGCCACCATGCACCTTTGAAATGTGGCGAGTGCATTGCATAGGCTGAACTACATCCTCCAGAAGGCGTAAACGCCATATGGACAGGTGAATGATGTTTTATCTCTATCTTCTGGGATAATGGAGATTTTATTATACCCCGAGTATCTATCCAGAAAGCAAAAGTGGGACTTCCCGTCCAATCTATCTAGCATTTGATCAATGAACGGCAAGGGAAAGTGGTCTTTTCGGGTGGCCTTGTTTAATCTTTTGTAGTCCATACAAATTCGCCATCCCGTGACTGTTCTTGTTGATATCAACTCATTGTTCTCGTTTTGCACTATAGTCATCCCACCTTTCTTAGGCACACATTGGACTGGGCTGATCCAGTTGTTGTCGGAGATGGGGGAAATTATCCCCGCATCTAATCACTTTATCACTTCCTTTTTCACAACTTCCTTCATGTTGGGGTTCAGCCTTCTTTGATGTTCTCTGGAGGTTTGCGGCCATCTTTCAGTAGAATCTTATGTATACAGAAGGCCGAACTGATCCCCTTAATGTCTGCAATGGTGCAACCAATTGCAGTTTTGCACTCACTCAATACCTGCAAAAGTTATTCTTTCTGCACATCTAACAAGCCAGATGAGATAATAACAGGTAAAGTTGAGTTAGGTCCCAATAAATCATACCAGAGGTGAGGTGGTAGCGGTTTCAATTCCAACTTTGGTGGCTCTTCTATCGATGGCTTAGCTGGAGGAATTGTTCTTTCTTTTAAGTGCAAAGGCTCAAATTCGAGCTCTCTTTTCCAAAACCCTTGACCTTTAAGAGCCAGCACCCACTCCGCCAAATCCTCTCCATTTACTTCATCTAAGTTCAAGAGAGAGGTTGATAAAGGGTCTTTAGTATTCAAGGTCTCATCTTCCTCCTCCAAAATTACATCCACGACTTCTATTAGAGAGCAATTAGCAAATTCACTTGGTCACCGCATAGATTTCTGCACGTTGAATGTTATATCTTCATCATTTAGTCTCATTTTGAGCTCTCCAATTTCACAATCAATTAAAGCTCTCCCAGTGGCCAAGAATGGTCTTCCAAAAATTATGGGAATCTCCTGGTCAACCCGGTTGTCTAGAATGACAAAATCTGCTTTGAACACAAACTTCCCAGCCTGGACTAATACATCATCAAGGATACCAGAGGACCTCTTCACTGTCCGGTCGGCCAGCTGTAGTAACATGGACGTGAGTCTAGCTCTTCCTATGCCTAATCTTTTGTAGATAGCCAAGGGAATCAAGTTTATGCTTGCCCCTAAATCACACAATGCTTTAGCAAAAGCATAGCTGCCTATCGTGCATGGGATTGTGAAACTCCCTGGGTATGATAACTTCTCAGCTATGGGTCTCGTCATGACTGCACTACAGGTCTGTGTCAATGTAACAGTGGACAGGTCTTGGAAGTCGAATTTTCGAGATATTAAATCTTTTATCATTTTGGCATACCCAGGCATCTCTCGCAACGCATCAATCAATGGAATGTTCACATGTATTTGTTTCAATATCTCCATGAATTTCTTATTGTCACACCTCTTTTTGCCCCAAAAGATATATATGTTATAGATTGTTGTGGGTTAAAGAGTTTTTTCAATTAAAATGATAAATTTGAATAGGGATTATTTTTTTTACAGAGTCGCCACTTGGAATTGATTTTTGGGGTGTTCCAAGTCACCTTTTATTTGAATCCCTAGTCAAAGGAAGGTTTGACTCTATTAATATTGTTCCCCGAGTCTAGTAGTTCTAGCACGGTCGCTTTATTGACTACAACTTGGCTTGAATTAATTTTAGATAAAGTGTGATTTATTGGTTTTCATATTTTATATGTCCGCTTTTATATTAAAATATAAAATTATCTTTGAAATGAATCTCGTGTGTGAATCCGTTTTTTGTATTGTGCCAAAATCATGTCACGTGTACGTGCACGCAATTAATAGCATTTTTATTATATTTAAGGTTGTTTCTCCCAAAGTTGCGCGAACGCATACCTTGATTTTAGTTTTGGGAATCGTAATTATGTCACGTGAACGTATACATAATCACGTTGATTCAATTAATTAAGAGTACGCCTAAAGTATTCTAGCGCATTCATGATTTATTTTTTTTCCTAAGTTTGAGATTATTGTGAAGGTCATGAATTATGGAATTACTTGTGAAAGAAGTGTATGATTTTAGATATTTGAATAAATAAACCATCATATACCAATAACCTACGACCAAACAATTGAAGCCCAAACTTATTAGGGTCCAAATCTTCCCAACTTTAAAGCAAGTTTGAATACCATATTTCCAAAAACATGATTAAGCATATAACATTTAAGGACTAACTTACATTATTATTTATAAAGTTTAAAGGCAAATAAATAAAATCACATGAAATAAGATAAAAAGAACAGAGGGAAGAATAAACCTTTAGTGCAAAATTTCCAATTAAATGAGTCTCCAAGAACAGGTACAATAACTCATACGAACGTCGAACAAGCATAAGCGACGAATAACATCAAACCTAGTGAACGGAGCTCCAACGGAATCCTCAACCTCGGCTATTGACTCCACTTTTTGGCGTGTAAAAAGGGACGTTATGAAGTATTTTTGTTGGGTTTTGGGTGATGACTCGCTGGATTTTTTCGAAAGGAAGACGAAAAAAGAATGACACGAGTAGAAATTCTCTTAGCGTAGAAGAAGAAAAATAATTTCTTTCAATTCCCTCCTCCCTTCTTTTTTTTCTCCTTCTCCCTCTTTTTCTCCTCACATTTCTCTTCTATTTATAGGGGAAAAATCGAAAATTTTAATTTTATTTTTTTAATTATTTTTTAATTAAAACGAATTCCCACTCCCCATTTTTCTTCTTTTTTTAAAAAAATAATTTCCCACTTTCCTTTACTTTTATTTTTTAATTTCTCATTTTTTACTTTTATTATATTTAAATTCCCACTTTTTTACTTTTCTTTTATTATTTCCCACTTATTTTACTTTACTTTTTTTTTTTAATTTCCACTTATTTTTTTTAAAAAACATTTTCATCTACCTTTACTTTAATTTGTTAATTCCATATTTCTTTTACTTTTTATTTTTTTAAAATTTCCACATATTTTTACTTTTATTTTTTAATTTTTCACTTTCTTTTACATTTTTAAAAAAACAAATTCCACCTAATTTTACTTTTAATTTTTTATTCTATACTTTTAATTTTTCTATTATTTTATTCCCATCCGAAAATAAAAGAAATATTTAATTTTTTAGTTTTATTTATTTATTTATTTATTTTATTTTAAAATAAAGATAAAAAAATAAAAATAATACTAATAGT